ATGATTTCTCTTGCTGCAGATCCCTGTGTTTTTAAACTTGCTCTGATCGGTTTCCTTGAACTCGCAGAAGCTTATGTGCTTGAGCCGTCTATTTTGCCCGGTGCAATCGAAAGTGCGATAGAAGTAACTTTACACCAATTTACTACATGTAACTTTGACGTAAAATAATTGTGCACCGTGGTCTTTTTAATGCCACGGTGCACAAACAATACATCTTGCTACTATAAAGAAGTGATCCTTTGGACATTGGCAGAGTGGGAACTCTTGTACAAGTAGCGCCTGTCACTCTTCATCTCCTTCCATGCAGTTGAGCAAAGAAGCATTAAAACAGTGGGATGTCGTCAACCAATTTACTGATATGGCTACAGAATTAGCTAATTTCATCGAAATAGCGTGAAGAATTAGGCGATCATAATTGACTGGACGGTGTTTTTTTCAAGTGTGTTATAAAAATTTTGAACAGCGTTGGAGGTGCTACTAAAAACATTGTCGCAGATTACGTTCTCACGCACATACAGTATTGAGCCTGTTATTAAATTGTCTTCATTCCAGAATATTAAGTAGCTTCATCTAGGCTCTGCTTTGCTCTATAAAGAAGGCAGCAGTTTTCCTGCCTGTTAGAGCGGAGGTCTACTAGTTTCTTTTATGCCATAAAATGCCTATTGTGGCTTCCGCTCTGCAGAGCTCACAAACCCAACACACCCTGACTATTCCGGAACTCACGCTTACCCCTTAGTTTATTACAGATGTTCTACCCTTCACGCATGTATGTGGATTTTAATCCAATAATCACACTTAAAATGCTTTTTTGCGGGATTCAGCATCAATTGAGATTACTGGAGATATGTTAATGCACTTAAATCACCAGATACACGCGGCCGTCCCTTTCAAGCCCTTGTCATTGGAGTTGTCGATGGAATTGCAATCATTAACGCGAGTCATTTTCCACTTCACTTAAGTATACTTTAAAATTAATGAAATGTGTATGCGTCTTTAGCCTCTTCTTCATCTATATTCTGCTATTGGGTCCTATCTATAAAAGGATTTAAATATAAAGGCACAATCATATATCTTACAAAAATGTGCTACTTATAATAAATTAGTAGCACATATTCCGCATATTCTTTAAAAGGTAATAGCTTTGAACCTCTCTTCATAGTCTACACATCACGAAAATCGGAGTCTGTCGTATCGTTTTCACCATTCAACGATGCAACAGTGTGGCTGGGGTAGGTATCATTTGTTTTGGACAATGGCTCACATCGCAGCTCAGATCTTATTTATTTGACTTGTTTGGTCTACTATAATGGGATGCAGCTCATTTGCTAAATTTTATTTTCAGGACTATTTGGGCCGTCACATAATCCGATTGGAAACTAATTTTCATTCAATTTGATTCAATTCGATTTACACCGAATATTAACCGCGTAGCCCAATAAATGAGCTTTTCGTAGGACATTTAGATGGTCTATGACTATTTACAGCCCATTAACTTTTAGATCCGCAAAAGTACAGGTTTCATAGAACACTTGCTGCTCATTGGCTCCCTGGAAATAGGCTTGTTCCTATTGGTTGCAGTCCCCAGGATAAGATGCGCAAAACCGCTGTTCCTGTTAGGCATGAACTGAAGCCGTACACATTGTGGACACAATCAGTGGCGAGGAGACACAACCCTTTCCAAGGATTTAGATATGCCATTTGCTTTCAGGAGGGGTTTCAAAGCTGCTCTTTCTAGGTGGACAGAGAGAACTAGTAAACACTTTGGTACAGCAGCGGTAACCTTGCATAACATATTTGACTGTTTGCAACTCAAAGTGAAAAAACTGTTTTACTGTGAAACAAAAACGCTTTGTTATTCTGATAAAAATGTGAAGTTCCCCCTAACACGCACATACAAAAGGGCTCTTTTTCTTGGAATTATCTAACCACGGGTTTTGAAGACCGACCACAAATCTATGCTGTAATCAAGACCTGAACTATTTTTATGGTTAAGTTAATCGACTACCGCCGAATGCCGTTTATTTTTAATTTTGGTCTAAGTACGAAACTAGTTTCTTACTTTTACGATCACCAACATCACTTTCGGACAGTCATAAGCACGCACATACACACACCATGACGTTTTGATTTTCATCTTGAAATGTCATAGATTTGAAGTCGGTGAATTGGCTGTTAGTAGATAAGGCACAGTGCCACAATCTATTATTTAACAAAGAGTCTGATTAGTAGAAGCTCTAATAATAGCTCTCGTCGACTGGTAGACTTCTAGAATAGGCAATTTAGTGTGAGGTTTTGGAGGTTTGCAGTTTCGCCTAGATTCGCACGCAAAATTGAGACTTCCATTTTAAGGTGGTGGAATGGTGTGCCGTAAAATGTGCTCCAATCCTGGAGCAATATTGGATTCACACTTTTATGACTCTTGCCAGCTTTGAAGTCGACTTGAAGTGAATCATCATAGACATTGGCCTTTAATCTTCGTTCCCTTTCTTCTTTCAGACGCTGACTTAGACGAAATTGAGACGACTTATTTTCATCAAAAACCAGTTTCCATCCAAAGTCTACTTAAGAGCACGCAATTTTCGAGGAGGGAATTGCAAATCATCTATCGTGGCTTTAAAGAGGTATGCTATAAGGAAGGGTTTGTAAATGTCTTGTCAATTCCAACGCCTCTGCATTCAAAGTGTACAAATGACCTGCGCTTTATTCATCTCAATTTGATATGAGTAGGCGAAATCGGATGAGGTCGAGTGGAATAAATTTCCTGAAAATGAAAATACTCATAGGGTGACCAATTTAACCGTGTTTAACGTCTCTATCCATTTCTACTTTCCACGTAAGACGCATTCGAAGTCAATGTAAAACTAGTTGACAGTGCAACTCCATGACCACTTGTTCGACCACCATCAACGTTTCCTTTTGTGCAGTTGGCCTTTCCACAATGCTGGATGTGCATATATGTGTACTAAGAACAATTGAGCGGTCAATATTCGAGTAGTAAATAGTGTGAATTCTAAAAAGCAGTGACAGAAAATTTGACTATATTTCAGTTGCCTCAACAACAATCATGCTGCGTGCAATCTTGGTCCTCCACTTCAATGTCCTCTGAGAAGGCTGAATAAGAGAGCCAGAGAAATAATCACAAGAGGGAATTTGCAGCTGATAATGGTAGATTTCAGGGAATTTTTTGGAGTTATTGACGCTCGGCTTTTGTAGCTCACTGGAGCTGGCTCTTGGACAAATGAGCACCAAATAAAAGCATTGGCTCCTTTTTGATGAAGAGCCATGGCAAACTTTAACTAGATGTGTGTTAACAATCACTGTCCCTATGGCTGTCACATCATCGGCATGAGGTCATACGTGAGACCTGCTTTCCCTGTTCTATCCTTGCCCCTCAGAAAGGAAAACGTAGGCAAATGGTGAAACGGGCCAAGATACAAAATGAGTTGTGCCAAACATCGATGATGCAGGTGTGGAATTGCTAAACGTTTTCTTTGGCAAAAGAAGTCATTTGATCAAACGGTCTCCGAGAGGCCATGGCACAGCATGTGCATGGTACAAAGCCCAAAACTTATGGCGGCTGCATTTTATGCGCATGCATTTTACTGACAAAGGAGGGAAGGAGGGGCTTCAAACATCCACCACAATAAATTTGAAGTGCGCCCTCGCCTCTTCGGATGGCAATGTATATTCGCAACTGCAGATTAGTGTAAATCGTTTGGTGGTTACTCTCACCACCCATTCGGAGGGTAAATGTTGTGGTCTGTGTTGCTTTGAATCATTAATTAATGCATTACAAATGATGGAGTATTCTTTTTTCTAGGATTGTCCATCAGGCTACCTCACTGAGGATGTGTTCAAACTGATATATGGAAAATTTTTCCCACAAGGAGGCAAGTTTTGCAATATTGTTAGTCAGTGACACACCTTTGCCGCTTAATTCATTTCCTGGCGTCTAGGCCATAGTATAGTGCTTGCGTTGTGAGCATGTTTCTCAGGCCTCGCCCTAGCTGAGTAGATGGTGATGATCCATCAGCACTGCGATGTGCTTCCACCTTTGTCCACATTCTCTGTTGACAGTGGCAGCTGTCAGTGGATTCAGCCGAAAATCCGTTTCTTTAGTTCCAAAACTTTCATTTTGGCTAAATTTTAGCTGCTATTTTTGAACAAACCAAATGAAGTGCAGTTTGAGCATGTTGTTTTGTGGTAATGATTGGCTCTTAGCAAAGTTTGCACCTCTCTTGAAAACATGATTAGAGCTATTTTTGGCTTTAAGTCGGTGCCTTCGATCCCCTTTCACTCTTTCAGGTAAAAACAGCTAATGCAATCGCTTTTGGTTTAGTGTGCTTTGAGATCAAAATGTCTCCACCCGATTTAAGCTCTTATGGAAACGAATTTCATTCAGCGGTTGTCATTATTAACTCAACAGCACACCTTTTTCAATTTAATCAAGTCCATTTATGTTTGTTTGTAATCTTGAGGAGGGAGATTGTTTGAACAATTGTTTGTAAGTGAATTGATTCATTTTTTTCCTTATTAGACGCCAACATGTATGCTCACTTCGTGTTCAGGACATTTACCAGCTCCAACCAAGGAAAAATAACATTTGAGGTATGCTACCATTTGGAGAGCCTTATTTCCACATTACGAAGCTCTTGGCGTGTCGAGTAGCACTAATTCCCGACAACATATCCACAAGACCATCAGTTAATTACTTCCAACATGCCACAAAAGACATCTCGTGAATAAATTTATTAATCTAGACTGGTGGTTAAGCTCTCCATTTGTCTCAAACCTTTTCCTTTGGCTCTCCTGGCTCTAAAAACTGGCCTTCATTGTTGCCCACGGAAATGTCAAAAAGGCTCTGAATGGAGGAAAAACCGCGCCTCGCGTTGATATGTTTGTTAGCCTCCTACAAAATGTGTTCTTGTGAAAACAATAGAAGTGTTCATATTATCACCTTACAAAAATGATCGCCAACTTGCGAAAAATGAATAACAGCAATGGTCTCCGTTAAACGCATGGTAGGCGATACCATGACAGCTAAGCGAAGGACTAAGCCGCCTCCTTAATTCTCCCGTAAATATTGCTCAAATTTCCAAACTATCAAAACGTTCTTTGAAGGCCTTGCTGACAGCAGCGCACACGCGAGACCCATTCGAGCTTGTCAACGACACTTGAATAGAAGGTAGCATTTCTTGCCGCCATCTCTAGGCTCCTGCTTTTGCTATACACTGTAGCAATTGGTGCGTTGTCTCTCTTCGTTAATTCACGGTTCATCAGCGTCCAAATTGATGTGGATCTTTCAACTCTACGACACAGAAGGTGACGGCGTAATCGACAAGACCGAGATGTTGAAGGTAGTCCAATCCATTTACGATCTGCTCGGCAAACACACAGACCCTCCTTACGAAGAAGCGTCGGTGAAAGAGCACATGGAATTTGTGTTCAGTGTGAGTTCTCAGTCTCTTACACATTTTAGTCCTTTTATGATCGACACGGTTCGAGTTGTCTGTTTGCGTTTCTTGTCCACATATGAGCGCTGTTAAATGAAAATGTGCTAGCAAATTAAACATGTTAGTATTTTTCTATTTTCAAAAGTATGAAAAATCTTACCTGAGCATTACCTAGTAGCTGGAACATTTCAAATCACAACAGCTTTTCACCACTTCGGAGTTATTTCTCAATATTAGCTATGCTATTATTTCTTTTTTAGAAATTGGACATAAATCAGGATGGTGTTATAAGTCGAGAAGAATTCATAGAAGCCTGTCAAAATGTAAGCCCGACGGCATGCTTGAAGGCCATTTCTCATGAAGTGCACAAATTGCGTTTAATGCAGCGCGCAGCAGGTTTTAATGGCTTTGCCACCGACAACAAATATAAGAACATTATTAAGTTAATTAAAAACGTGCTTAATTTATTTTGAATGCTTTCTCCACCTTGTGGTTGTAAAATTCACTTTGCCGATTACTTGAAGGTATCTAATGTTGAGCAGTGCACCTTCAGGCGTCGCCACAGAA